GGTGGCCTCTGCCTTATAATAGTAGTCCAAATCAGGATAGACTTAAGACTAAAGACTAAATGGGTGAAATAAACATGAAATATCATGATAAACCACCAAACAAGAGGAACATTGTCTTTTAAATGCATTTATGTCTTGATGGAAATATTGCTTGCATAAAAAAGAACACTAGGTACATTTCTATCACAAATCCTTACGTAACATCAGTCCTTTGCAAAAAGGCACCTCCAAGGTGTGTGTTCAGGCAAGCATGTCCATGGTTGATTTAAGATTAAATGATTTTCACTTGTTTGGTGACTTCAGATTCGGTCATTCCCACATAGGATAACAAGGAACTTCCCTTGAGGATTGCACTGTGAACTCTCTTCCTCTTACATCCTTCCTCTTATGACACTTAATTCCAGCACTTTTCCTCTAAGGCAGGCAACCCTCCCAGTTACTCTTGTCATGTGTGCCTGAGGAAGATGCTTCTGGAATTCATATGTTAGTTTGTAGGGTTAATCATGAAACCCCACAAAGGTGATACTCCAGCTTACTTCAAGTTTTAGATTTCATGGTGTTGCAGTGGGGGAGACATGCAGTGACACTGCAGGCACTCAGCTTGGAACGAGTAGTTACAGGAAGGAGCTTTGCAGCTTCCTCATTTTCCAAAGTCTCCTCACTTGTCGGGCAGAAGGACTGTTCCCACCTAGGAGAGCTGGCTGCAGCCTCGATGTCTGATGAGATGGTCAAAGTCTAAATCAGATCAGAAATCCTTGGCTCTGCCCCTTGCTTTCCCATCCCTACCATGGCAATAACTATAAATAACAGAGCTGTGGCTACCAGGAACAGACTCAGTATCACACACTCTGGTTATGACTGTACATCCTCATGTCCCTTCAGCTCAGGAGCACAAGGGCCAAGAGCTTTACAGCTCTTCCTCTCATATGGAAAACCCTTTCTTCCAGAGCTTTTTACACAGGATGATTCTGCCCAGTTCACACTGCTTTAAAAAGAAAAAAATAAAAAAGATGCCTTTAAGACATCTGTAGCTTATTCAAGGGCAACATTATGAGTACATGAAAGAGGTCAGTGGAGGTGCCCAAGTACTGCCAGTGCCTCTTCCATGCTACCATCCTGAAAACGTGGAAATATGGACCTAGCTAGCCTACCTATGATTTTTTTTCCCCCCATGATTCTGTTGAGATATATATTCAGAAAGCTGTCTTAGGTTTGAGCAGGATAATGGGAAAAGCTTTCTAGTGTAAATCTCCCCGTACAACCAGGAAGACCAATGCAGAGGGAAAGCAGCAGAGAGAGAACATGCACATGTACTAGTGCATAACGTGGTGTGGGAGTGTGGCTTACATGTTGCTTCATGATTAGAACTGTAAGCATTGCTGCTTTTCAGGGAAAATCTTAAGATTCCCATGTCAGTGATTACATCAGTGCTCTTAAATACAGCTCATTGTACCTAGGTGGGAAAATTTTCTGTCAGACGTGGTTTCAGATTGCCAAGCTGAACTTTAAGTTAAAAATGTGCAGCATATGGGAAGCCTAGAACTTTGCCTGGAGCAATACTTTAGAAACTGCTGAAGCTAGGTTATGCTGAAAAATGTATTTATGTAAAGTCAAACCCTTCAGCTTTTACTCATAAAAGGACACACTTGTAATAATGAGATCAGGCCACTTGCATGCAAACTCAAAGGACTAATTAAGTGCTAAGTTGTTCTAGCTATACACTAATGTAACTCTTGCTATCATTGCACTGCAGGATTGGACCTTACACAGCAGCTTCAAATATGCCACTGTAAATGTTACTGTTTTTACAGGTACTTCTAACAGATCAAATCAAGTACTCAGCAGATTTAACCTTGTTGATGATCTGAGTTGGATGCTGCCAGCTTCACTTGCTTATTCAGGCATATTTTGGGATGTTGCTTATGCAGAGTGCTGAAGAAGTTCAGAACACATTGGGTAGCAATATCCTCGGTTCAGGATCGTGCACTGTGCCCACTCTGCTCAGATTAATGCCTGTAATGGTGCTGAAGTTAGTAGCTGTTGCTTTTGGTTGCCCTTGGAGGGAGCAGGGGAAAATAGTACCTCCAGAGGCTGCTGAGATCCCAGTTTGTCTGGACTGGCCTTGGGAGGTGCCCATTTCTGTCCTCTGACTATAGCAAAAGTTTCTGCTTTCTTTATTTAGGGGGAAGGAAAGGTTCAAGCTGTGAGGTCAGAGGGCAACTAGATGTTTCTACCCTGGTATCATACAGAATGGTTTGTTGGTGCAGCACCCACCCAGGTTTCAGTGTTTGTCCAGGTTTGTTTGGGAATTGCCTCACCAAGTCAAGTGCTCGTGACATTCGTAAAGATGAGGTTGGTGCCTTCACATCTGTTGCAGAGGCTGGAAACTATGATTGCAGAAAGATCTCAGGGCAGACAGGCATTAACCTCTAGTGTTTTACTGGTTAATAATGTCCCACATCCGGCAAGAGAGAAAAAAAACATCAGGAATAAAATCCAGTAACCCTGTCAGAGAAAACAGAAGAAACCAATACAAAACATTTCAAGATGAATGGTTTTGTGTCCTGTCTAAGAAGCCAGAAAGTCTATGCATCCCATCTGAGAAGCTATTGGTCTTCTCATCAGCCAGCCTGGGCATCTATTCAAATGTATACGTATTTAATTTTCTCACATGCACTGGAGGAATCTCAGCTGGAAAAATCAGCCAGACAACTCCCCCTGTGTCTGAATCAGCAGCACAAGGATTTGTGGTTATCAAAGAAAACTTGCCCTTAATTTTTAACATTTAAGAATCTGTTGGCTTTGCTGTTCTGTGGTTAGCTGATTGCCTGTGTTTGCATGCAGAAATCTTTGTTCTTGTGCTGTGTCTCGGGAATGCCATGAGCAGTTGTTTTTGTTTGTTCGTACTCGGGTGGAGCTAACTGTCTAACTGGGTAAATATTTGCAATGCTATACTTGCATGCACAGAAGACAAAGAGGGCTGGACTCCTGTTGACATAAAGGGCCTTTTACACCAGGCCAGCAATGTAAAGGCTTAAATAAAATTGGTAAGTACGAGGCCACTTCTTATGGTCAGACCGTATAAAGTGGATTTAATTTAACTGTCATGGCCAAATTTACTTCTCATTACAGATAGACTATTTTCCAATATGATTACAACAATGAAGAGGTTACTCACTCTGCCTTACTCACTGATTGCAAGTTCAAAACTGCTGGACTTCCACTGGGTCTTAGCTCTGTTAAAAAAATGGTATTTATTTACCAGAGTGCCTTTGGATATAAGAGGTGAGTTTTCCACAGATGTAGAAATTGCCCAAGTAAACATTAATAGATCCAGATACTTAAAGGTGTTTTGAAAATTGCAGGCTTGTGGTGCTCATGGAAGGTGTGTTTGTGTATGTAAAATAAATACCTTGCATGCACCTTATGGGGTGACTATTGCATATGTTATCATTAGCTCCAAAGTACACTATAAAGATCCATACATGTATGAACAGATTCTAAAGGTTTATCATTGAAGAGGCTGTTAATAGGTAATTGAGCCTTTCTTTGAACAAAGGTTACTAAAAATGAGGTGTTGTGTAGACCTAGTTCAGCTTCTGTTTATCTGTAGCTGTCACAGCTTGGACCTTACTGGGAATGGGTTTACCCTGGCTAGTCTTGAAAGACTTGCACAGTTTCATAGAGCCATTGCTTCACACACACCTGAACACAACAGTTGTCTGTCTGTAGTTTTCCTCCCTAAATTGCCCTAAAGTAGGACAAATACAAAGAAAAAGCTTTAATATATGAGGGTTTTATTTTATTAACAGTTATTTATCTTGTTTGAAGTTCTCATTGTATTTTTTCAAGGTTCAACTATTTACTCTTGTCTTCAGAAAACAAATAAGGATAATTTAGAGTTTCACCTCCATAAGGTCAATCTCTGATGCTCTTGCACCACCTGGTACCTTGCTTAGTCATTAGTTCCACTGGGTTCACTGATACCAGCTGTGGTGCAAAAGCCTTTGATTACCACGGGGCAGCCATCCACTCCTCCCTGTCCTGTACTGCAAGTCACACATTTTTGTCTGCTTTTATGATGTGATTATTGAAGTTCAGGTTGCCTCTGAGCAAGCATTCATTGACCAGGTAGTCAGGCCTATCTCTGCTCCTGCAGAGTTCATCCCACTGCCAGCCCCTGCCTTGTGCTCATGGATCTCCTGGTGCCATCATGCTGGGAAGAGGGAGGCCGTGACGAGGCAGCACAGGTTGCCTCGCAGGTTTTGGCTGCATCCATTCTCTTGTCTAATCCACTTCTCATCCATCCCTGTGAACAGTGTGGTGAGTGAGGAAAAGCAGCTATAGGGGTGTGGAGCCCGCTGAGGTCAGTTGTGCCTCTGCCTGTTTTGCCCTCCCTGCGTGGAAAGCGTGTGGAAAGTAGCTCACCACCCAGCCATTCCACCAGGGATGTGCTCAGTGGTTTCCTATGAGCTCACTCACCCTGTTTTTTTGTCAACTGATGGCAAAATTACTATAATTTTTCATGGTTTTGGCATCTTTTCAAGTGCTGTTGTGGATTCTTGTAAGCTTATGTTGAGTATTTCCCTCAGTCACGCATAACTGGAATTCATAAAAATAGCACAAATGATTCTGTGTTTTTACATGCTGTCTTCATTCTGAAAACATCTTGAACTTTATTTCATAGTGACCTTTATTCAGCTGTAAATTTTTTTTAAAAATTGTTCAATGGTTTGAAATGTATGGGACAAGTAGGAAAGTGAATACTTGTCAAGACAGCAAGGCTGAATAAATCTCTTTTCATTAAGAAAACAGGCTAAAAACTTCCTCAGCTTGATACTGGTGAGCAAACTAAATATATACAAACAGTCTTCCTTGTGATGTTGTGATTACCAGTCCTATTTTTCTACAGTGTTTTTCCTGTTCCTTGTTGTAAACAAACTGTAATCATAATACCATGACACCCTGTCCTCATTTTCTGTCAGCTGCCTGTGGAATTACTTCCTCCTTCGAGTCTTGCCTTTTCTCTGTGTCCTGCATTTAGTGAAACTGGTGATCTCTGTGTGACTGTCCCAGGACATTTCTCACTCTCCATCAGACCTTTTTCACACCAACACCATGTTTTCTGAATACTTCCATCTGGTTTTGCTTGAAGTTTGGACAAAGCTTTCTAATCTGGATTATATATGTATTTCCTTGACTGTACTGTAAATGCTTATCTGAGCTGGACAGGAAGAACTTGTTCTGTTGTTTGGTCTTGGGATATTACTGAAGACTCATTCAAGTAGCAGAGAAGCTTTCATGAGGCTGGGGAAGGAATGTGTCATTTTGTGTTTCTGCTCACCTGCCTGGATCTGCCAAAGCCAAGTGCTGTCCATTCACAAGAGAAATTCTGTCATGAATGTCTGCTGTTAGGACTGGCAGTGAATCAGAAATGCCCAACTGCCCAATGACTTTCCCCACAAGAAAAAGGTAAATTTGCACTTGAAAATTTTCAATCACGTGTTAAATCCCCAACTTTATTTGCTCAGAGGGGTCATTAACATTTAGCTTTGTATTAGGAAATACCCTTTACCAATAAATTTTGATGGGAAAAGCAAAGACTTGGGTTTGTTCCAAAAGATTCATTCATGAAAAATTCTGCTGAATGAAAAAGGAAATCTACAATTTTTTTTAAAGAATTCCTCTATCTGGTATGAATGTTTTAGTCTAGGCTAACTGTGCATTTTACAGATAGTTCAACTCAATTTTAATTCAACTGATGTAACACTATAATAAATAATGTAAGAATTAGTGGCATGTCTTTAATGTTCCTGCCTGCATAACGTATGTGGATTCTCTGCAGAAATAAAGCCTGCTGTCATTTCATGTTGAAGGTGAAGTATGTCCATCAATGTCTTTCCCAGGGGAATAGAGAGAACAAGGCTTGGGAGAAGGTGGTTTGGCACACACGCTCCTCGTGAGGAGCAAACTTGCACAGCAGCTTGTCTTTAACTCTTCCCAAGCAGTGGAGCGTGTCATTGCTTTTGCAATAAACCATTCCTCAGGAACAGATATGGACTGGCTGAAAAATAATTAAAAACTTAATTTCCTGTAATACTGTCCATCAAACAACTTTACTCAATATTTTTGAAAGGCTGCTCTGCAGCATGGAAAAAAGACTGGCAGTAGTGCAAGAACAGGGAATATATATGACCAGTGGAAGAAGCATGGTTGGCCTTTTGCCCTAGAGAAATGGCTGGATGAGTGGATCTTCTGCTTTAACCAAGCATTAATAAAATAATTTGGATTTGGGCTTGAGGTGATGATGTTTGCCAAAGCGGCTACAAAGGCTTTTTTTACTGCCCAGACTGATACTGACCTGCATGGATGTGCTTAGGGTCTGTTGTGTGCAAACCCACAGCTGCAGAGTTGATCAGTCCTCTCTTTTGGGAAAACCTGATTTTTTACTGAGGTATAAAATTTGTAGATTAGGTCTTTTACAAAGATTTGGCCCCAATAGCCAAAACCCTGTGTGATTTGTCTCCTGCAGTTTTACAGTTTGTGGTGTAGTACCTTAAGAAAGGCAAACAGAGCTTTATCCTCCTCTGGACAGCTCTTAGGGACAGATCCACTGACTCAACTGCTCAAGAGAACAACCCCCAAAACTGGGTATTTTATTCCAAACTAACACACATAAAACTTCTCTTCTTCCTAGGTCCAAAGTTCCAAGGAGTAGATTTTCAACATATAACTACAGACCAAGAGCAAATACAACAAACCCTAATACCAGTATCAGTGTCACTAGTGACCTAGTCTGCTGGTAAGTACAATGCTTTTTTCCCCCAAACTGCCTGAGCTATAGTTTTTCCAAACTTATTTCTTATTTCCTTTCCTCATTTACTCCATCTGATAATGCCACCAGACATTATCCCATCTCCTGAGAAGACTGAGAGGGGGAGGATTCAGAGCTGGTGTAAATTCACTTTTCTCTGCTTACCCATTAATCTGTGTCAAGTTATGCTGGATATGCTATTCTGAGAGACAGCTCAGCCTTCTTTATCTGTCATAGTAGCACTGCTTTGCTTTTCAAATCAGCAAACAAGAAGCCATGTCCTAAACAGGCCACTTCATTATCTTTTGTGTTGGTTATTTTTGTGTTTGCTTTTTTTTCCCTAACAAAAATATAAATAATTCTTTATCACTGATAATAATTAAAAGATGTGCTTTTCCTTGTAGATCATAAACTGAATGGAGAGCCTGCAGTCATTTGTCTGTTGCTTCAATGGGGAAATCAATTCTCAGTTATCTACGCATGGCTTGTCTGGCTGAGGATTAACCAGGCTGGGGATGCACTGACCTCAATTCATTCACCACCTGCAAGGCTGACTTTGGACCAGCAGTCTGTATTGATCCCAGCAGTGCTGCGTGCACATCTGTCAGTTCCACAGCTGCCTCCAGCTCATCAGCACATTATCTGTGTCACTCAGAGCTGTGTGGAGGCCTCTCCACAGCCCCTGCCAGGTGGGGTCAGCTGCCCTGGCCAGCTCCTGCAGCAGCAGATACAACACCTCTTTCCACACTAACTCGGCATAAACTGACTTTGTTTATGCTCTGGGATTGATGCTGGCAGCCCCTCAGCTGTCAGAAGCTGAGGAAACAATCTTCTTTGCTCCTTAGACCACCAGCAGAGGAGAGATTTCCAACTTTAAATAAACTAGTTTGTTACAAGTTAAATTTAGTTAATTTGGAACTGGGGGAGATTGATGCACTGTTCTTGTAGGCGTGGTAGCTCTTCCCAAAACCTGGTCATGGCTACAGCAAGATCTTGTTCCATGTGCTTCCCAGCAAAGTGGTTTTCCTTTTCACCTTCAGCAGCAGGAATGGACAGCTTGAACTTGTATTTACTTTAAATAAATAGAATACAATGAGTTTAGGTCTTAATGCAGGTCATCAGTTAAATTTTAAATGCTTAGGTGCTTAAATAATAGACTCTGTGTTAAAGTGATATAAACAAAAAGGATCTAATCTGTTTTGTTTAATTGGAAAAAAATTTGCAGATTTGTATTTGCCTTGTTATCTCTATCTTTTATTATTCCAAAGAGGCTCTGAATAGAGATGTTATCTCAGCTTTAGCTGTGCTCTTGCAATGTTGCAATTCCTCAAACCAGTAATTTATGTTTCAGTTGAAAGGAGGTGAGAAATAATTAACTCTTGTATTGCATCCTTGTCTTTGCAGGCCTTTCATTTTCTGTGAGTACTTGCACTAGCAGTTTTTATTTTTTAAATTCCAGACTCTTCAAAACTCCTGGGCTTCCTCAGGAAGGCCAGGACTCTCAGCAGTCCACGTGAGTGCTTGATGTCTTGCAGAATTAAGTCCCAGGAGCCCAGTCCTGAACTGAAATCGTTGGTCATGTTCACATTGACTTCAGTCTAGCAACTGGAATCCTGGGGTAGCAGGATTATTTGTCCCATTGAATTACTGGCCCTGGTTCTCAGGATATTTCCTCACTCTGCCACTGACACCCACAAGTTGTTTACTTGCCCGTGTGTGCTTCTGGCAGCCTGTATTCCTGGATGACCTATTTTTGCAGGAATCAAATGCCCGTGGCAGCAGTGTTTTATTGGCCCTTGCTGGGCTGACACCACTGCAGTGAGAGTGCTCATGGTCAGTGACACTGCAAGTCCTGGCTGAGAAAACTGATTTCTGCCAGCTTTGCAGCAGCTTTTATGTCAATCCCTTACTAGCAGGAGAGAATGGGCTCATAAAGACGTGTTTTCCATTGACAGAACCAGCTCCAAGGCTAACTAGTGAGCACGGTGTGGTGACAGGAATGAGGAGTTTCAGTGCAGAGCACACTCATGAAGGAACCCTCCTCTTGTCCTACTGACCTGGTACTGAATCACATATAACTCATGGTTTCCTCTGTAGTTTCATCTTCCTCAGCTAAAAATTTTAAGGGTGTGACAGATCAGCAGAGGTCAGGTGAGACTGGATGGATGGAAGGGGAGGAGTTGCTCTCATTTAGATTTTTTTTTTCCGTAACAAAGTTGGTCACACCTCTAATAGCCAGACTCAGCTGTGTTTTCAGGTAATCTTAATAACAGGTTGCTAGGGTGCTTAGTTTGTTCAATCCATTCAGTAATTAGAGCTGGTGCTGAAGTCGTAAAACTGAGTATAGAGTGAGATCTTAATGAACACAGTAATTAGCTGTAAGTACAGCCCTGTAGAGCTTCCTCATAAATGGCTTCTCCTTGGATGGAGCAGTGCAGTCACCAAACAGGGCAAGTCCATGTGGCAGCTGAGGACAAAAGCTGAACATTTAAGTGACCATCAGTAGGATCAGTCCAGCAGTGCAGGCCAAGGAAATGAAAGCTAGCAACACTCCAAATGGATTAGTTATTTTTCAAAGTCTCAAAGTGCTGAGAACTCTGTGTTTCTATTCAGTGTTCAGGCTGATACTTCCAGCAATATACACATGCTGAGGCAATGTATTTAATGACTCAGGGGAAGAAGCTGTCTACTGAATCACCAGTATCCAAACCTGAAGAACCCAACAGCTTTCTGTAAATCTGAATATAATTAAGCATAGTCTTGTTCTTTTCACTAGGCATGAAATAACCAGAGATTATGAGACTCCATTTACATAACAGTAAAAAAAAATAAAAAATTACTTGTTTTAGTTTTCTACCCCAGAATCTGGAACCTACAATCTATTGCAGCGTGTTGTTTATGAGGACTGAGAAAAGGATAAAACAGCTAAAGAAACATACATCCTAAATATGAAAACAACATTTCTGCTTATGAAATTCCTAAACCAGATGTTGTTAGAAGCTGGGAAAATATTCTAGAGGGCAAACCATGCAATCTTGTGTGGTTCTTAACCCACTGTCAGACCCTGCAGTAGCAGGAACTTTGATTTGATCTAGGGTGGCTGTCGTCAGCACTCACCATGTGCTCTGAACACCACAAGCAGTTGCATCAGATTAGAAGAACAGACAGTGGGTGTCCCAGACTGTCCCAAAACTATGTAAGTAAAAAAAAAAAACACCAGGTAAACATTGCATGAGGACATGATTAATGCCAGAAGAACAAAAGGTGGAAGTTCAAGGAAAGGCAAAAATTATTAGTAACAGAAAAGATGTATTTCTCAAGATCTAGAATGTAGAAAGAAAGATCTCCAGGGATAAATACCATTTAGTTTCAAAACCAGACTAACTGGAAGGCTAGAAAAAGCTGTAAAAGAAATGTTTTCACATTTTCATCTGTTGACCTGCTAACCTTTTCTTTAAAACATTTGTTACAAGAAGTGTTCTGCAAATAATCTTTTACTTTTTTTTTTTTGTTAGAGCAGAAGTTATTCTGATGCTGACTTCTCTGTTTTCCAAACAGAGATGTGCCAGTACATCAGCAGAGTCATAAGGATTACCCAATACTTGCCTGCTGAAATGTTTGCAACAACTGCTTGCAAAGAGGAAACATTTTTTTTGGCTATGTAGGTGACTTTCATCACATCTTCCAGACTGAGGTGTAGAACAGCTGTAGAGATCCAGAAAGAAGGACCCTGAGGCCTTCAGTTTAAGATCCAGTTCTGTGCTTATGCCTGTGTTAATCTGGAATAGATCCCATTACACTGATCTGAACTCAAACAAGATTACATGAAATTTAAGTATTGGTCATACTGGAGAGTTGTGCTGTATTTTCTGCTACACTAAGTGGCTATTACTGTCTTAATTTTGGGACAAACAGGACACTTTCCATGAATGAATGATAAAAATAGGAAGTAGATCCAGAACTTTTCACCTCCAGTTTCTACAGCTCACTGAGGAAGGTGCTCCACTGACTAGCCAGTGGTAAGTGCTATCCACATTGAAGGGGCAGATTTTGCCACCACAGCAGCATCAAGCTGACTTCCCTCTCATTGTTTTGTGATTCCCTCCAAAAGAAGACAAAAGGAGCAATCCAGGCAAGCTTTCCCTCTATCAGGTGTGTGTGCTATGTACACCAGACAGACATACCCAAGGTAAACACACTGCTAGAGTGCTGCAGCCTCTGCAGGTGCTGAGTCCAGTTGTAAATGCACACACACAAAATCAGGAAGATCGCAGATGAACTCTGCTGAAATGCTAATGCAAAACTGGCCTCATGTTAATTATTTTTTTGGAGTGATTACATAGCCTGGAAGAGCAGAGAAAGGCCACAAGCTTTATAGCTATGACAAATAACTATATAGTTATAGTTATAGTTATAGTTACAGTTACAGTTAGTTATAGTTATAGTCATAGTCATAGTCATAGTTATAGTTAGTTATAGTTATAGTTATGGAAAACTGCAAAACAAGCTGGAAACAAACAGTGGATACACAAAGCCATGTGTATCTTCAACTGTAAGCAAAGCTCACTCGATGGCTCTGGTGCTAGCATCGTTCTGATTTGTCTTTGAATAATGCATGTGGAACCTCAGGAGCCCTGGCACACTGTTTTATACCTATTTCATAACTGCCTGGAGTTTCTTTTTAAGTAATCTGGCTGTGAGAGTTACAAAGCTGTCCTGCTTCTCTTAATATTTCAGAGGAGAAAAAAATGTGGTGTTTTCCCATTCTCTACTGCAAAAGTGGTAGAGATTTACACCTTGCAACCAAGTGGGCATTGTCACTGGGTGTGATAATTAAAACTTTCCATTGATAAATTACAATAGCTTCTCTCCTAAATGGCCTGAGTGCCTCTCCTACTCTTTGCCTCTCCCCTGAGGCACAGCAGCCTTCTCTGTCAGGTTTGGGTCTGGGACTTTGCTGTCTCTTGGCTGCTGCAGCACAAGACATTGTTATGGGTCTGTTCATGATCCTCCTCTACTCCTGGGGCTCAGGGGTTTCTTCTCTGGTGCCATTCTCTCTTTTATTCTCCCACCCATCTTGGAATTAGGGACTCCCTTAGCCTCCCATCCCCATCCCACTCATCTGGTGCAGCCACTGACCCTACAGACATTTTGTTCTGAACTTGCACTCTTGTGGGAAGACAAGATACTCTGCCTGCCTGGGAAAGGAATTGAGGCAGAGTGTGGCTGCTTTCCAGCCTCTCCATGGCCACAGTGGTTTGTTTCCAGCCTCCCTCCTCTCCGTGGCCACAGTGGTGGAGCCATGTGGCAGAGACCACCAGGAGTGGGCAGACAGGGCAGTCCAGTGCAGGGAGGTGATGCAAGGTGCTGCAGGAAGGGCACAAGGCTGATGTTGCTGGTCTGGTGGCCCTGTGGCAATATAAAGTTCATACATAATTCATAAATGTCATACATTGGCACTGTTTGTGCAATTTGCTCTTACGGCTGGGATGGTGTAGGAAGGCTGCATGTAGCCTCTTGTTACACAGAAAACCTGTTGGTATTTCCTATCATCACTGGTGAAGGCATAAAAAATAGGGAAAATACAGTTTAAGTATAGAGAAACAAAGCAGTGAGTGACTGAACCATTTCCCACCACCCCCAAATATTTTTTGCCCAAATATAGGGGCATCTGAGTCCTGGTCAGGACTGTGAACACACAAGACTCTGCCCCAAGGTGCTGGAGCTCTGGGGGCTTTTGCCTTGAACTGCTGGTACAGGTGGCAATGTGTGGGTGGGAGAAGGGATGCCAGTGTTTATTTTTTTTTCCCAGCACTGAAAACCAGACGGTTGGGCTGATTGCTTCACATTTTCAGCCTGCAGGGACTCATTGCTGCACCAACACAGCCCCACATTTCACTCAGGTGGCTGCACCCCTATAGTCACTCAGCTCTGCATAGATTATTCTGCTAACTAACAAATTCCAATCTTTTAGCTGTTTCTTGTCACATCATTTTTCATTTCAGTCTGCAAGTAAGGATGACTGAAAAAATTATATTCTCTTTGCTATTTCTTTATGCTGTTGCTGGAATTAATTGTTGACCAAGTTTCTTGTGGGGAATGTAATGAAAATACAGTATGATAGTAATATATTTCTGGCATGATTCATGGTTACCAGTGGAAATATTTAATGATCTTTTTGTATACATATAGTAATTGCTTCTTCTGTAAGGCAATAATAAGTTGCAACACAATTACACTCTTGTTCTTCTGCATATAAGAAATGGGCACATGAGTGGAACAGAATCAGAAAAGCAGAATGTCCCTGGTATCTTTTCAATATTCATCTACTCACCTGAGATTCTGCAGTCTTTTGAATTACACTAGACTTTTATAATCAGACTGATTGT